AATGAAGCTGGTGAAGGGTCTGGGGAACAGGAGTTGCTGAGGGAACTGGGGCTGTTCAGCCTGGAGAAGAGGAGGCTGAGAGGAGACCTTATAGCTCTCTACAGCTACCTGAAAGGAGGTTGTAGTGAGGTCTCTTGGTCTCTTCTCCCAAGTAACTAATGACAGGACAAGAGGTAGTGGCCTCAAGTTGCACCAGGGAAGATTTAGATTGGATATTAGGAAAAATTTCTTAACTGAAGAAGTGGTCAGACATTGGAACAGGCTGCCCAGGGAAGCAGTGGAGTCACCGTCCCTGAAGGTGTTCAAAAGACATATAGATGTGGGGCTGAGGGACGTGGTTTAGCAGTGGGCTTGGTAGTGCTAGGATAATGGTTGGACCTGATGATCTTAAAGGTCTTTTCCAACCAAAATGATTCTACAATGAGGCTGTTGGCAATTGGAGATTAACTGAGAGAGGCTGAGAGGGCCAGGTAACAGAGTGAAGGGCAGTAACAAGGAAATAAAACATAAGTTCTGGGGCTGAGGATGCAAGGACTGCTGCAGGCACTGAAAGATCAGAGCCTGGTAGGCTCCAGAAATCAGCGACAGCAAGGAAGGGTTACAGTAGGAGCAGAGCTGGGTAGAAAAGCAGAAAGACGTGGCTGAATGAATGTGATTTTGAGACAGAAGGAGGAAAAAGCTGAACGTGATGGCAGGTCCCAGTACCTTGCTGTCCATTTGTGTTCGCAGAACATAACAGAAAAGCTGCAAGCAGAGCTGCAGGAAACTCAGAGTAAGATCAAGGCAGTGGAGAAGAGGCACAAGGAAGAGCTCGGAACTGTCAGAGAGGAAATGAATATCATTCTTCAGCAGAGGGATGCTCTACAAAAACAGGTGACTGAAACAGCAGTAGATACTCCAGTCATCAAGCAGGTGCCTCTCCCCTTCTTGCCTTCCACTGCAGAGCAGCAGGCTGATGGGGTCATCCCTCTGACTGCCATCATACTGTGGGCTCCATCGCAGCTGGCCTGAAGGAGACTTACTGCTCAGCTGAATCTCAGGTGCTGCCCTGGACAGATGGGCTAGTCCTTTTGCCTGTTTGCCAGCAACCATCAGAATGGATTTCTGCTGGCCTGTTACTGCTGGCCTTGTTTATTAAGGTCATTTTTCAGTTGAACATGGTGATTTTTAAACAAGCCTGCTGTGTCCATTGTGAATCTGGTACTCTCATGATAGGGTGAAATCTGAAGTTGTTCTTTCCCTTTCCTCGCAGTATATGATAGGGCTGACAGTGATAAGCTGTAGTCTTTGACTGCTTTGTTATGTTTTACTTGAGGTGGACGAGCTGACATCTCAGCTAGCAGCCTCTGAAGAGTCCCAGCAAGTGATTGGCCGCAAAGCTCAGCAAGATCTGAGTGAGGCACAGGAACTGTCAAGGCAGAAGGTGCTGGAGGTTGAGCACCTCCAGAAGATCCTGGAGGAGAAAAGGAGTCAATGGGAGGAGGTAGAACATCAGAACAAGGAGCTGCAAGTACGTCTGCTGTCCTTGGAGGAGGAAAAGAGTCGATGGAAAGAAGTGGAGCGTCACAACACAGAATTTCAGGCTTTGTTGAAAGTCCTAGAGAATGAAAAAGCCAGGTAAATGAAAACCTGTGAGACTCTTCTTTCTGTTTAATGGATTCCCTCTTTCAGATCTTTGCATATACAAGTGGCTCTGGCAGCATTTCCTAAAAAGCAGAGTTCTGAACTATCCATGCAGGTATGTTTCATTCTCTTGATGTGTTTCATTTTATTTTCTTTTAATTCCTCAATTACAGTTTTTCTGAAGACAATGGCTTTTGGAGTAGTCCTTTCCTTAAAAGGAGATGTTCTTTTGTTAGGTCAGCATGGTGATACTGCTGAATGAAACTTTCAGGGGTTTCAAACCTGAAATACGCCAAAGGAGGCAGGACAAGCTGCAGTGTAATGTGCTAGACAGATCCATCAGCTCTGCCTTGGGTCCAGTAAACTTTAAACATTTGGGAGCTGTGCCAGTCTTCCACCCTAATACCTGTGGTTGGCAGAAGCCATCTTAAAACCATGATTTTCAACTAAGCCAGATTCCGCTCTGAGGCATCCAAGAAACAAGAATGTTTGTGGTTGCCATCTGTTCCCATGTTCCTCAAAAAATCCCAATGGGTGTCTGGAGGGGCTTGAGCAGGGTCTCTGTCAGCCTCAACAGTTACAGGTGTTACTGACTGGCCAAGGAACACAAGAAAGAAGAGAAGGGGTAGGTAGGCTACTTCACCTGGTAAAGTCCTGCCAGTGTTCAATGCATAGATTCAGTGAGGGAGGGACGTTAAAGGCAGCGCGCTCTTGCTTCCCCTGTGAGGGATCCTGCATCTTGTATAGGGAGCAGCGTATTTCTTCCAGGCCTCCATTACCACTTCTGGGATCAGCCGTTGGTTCTCTAGCTGAAAGTGATATGGGTGCTGGTGGGTCTTACGAAACTCCTTGTCGTGGTTTAACCCCAGCTGGCAGCTGAGCACCACGCAGCTGCTTGCTCCCTGTCCCAGTGGGATGGGGAGGAGAATTGGAAAAAAAAGTAGAACTTATGGGTTGAGATAAGAACAGTTTAATAAGTAAAGTAAAATACAATAATAATAATAGTAATGAAATGAATATAGGAAAAAGAGAGAGATAACACCCAAGAAAGGACAAGTGATGCACAATGCAGTTGCTCCCCAGCCACTGACCAATGTCCAGCCAGTCCCCAAGCAGCAGTTGGCCCCTCCTGGCCAACTCCCCCCAGTTTATACACCGGGCATGTTGTCATATGGTATAGAATGTTCCTTTGGTCAGCTGGGGTCAGCTGTCCTGGCTGTGTCCCCTCCCAACTTCTTGTGCCCCTCCGGCCTTCTCACTGGCAGGGCATGAGAAGCTGAAAAATCCTTGACTTAGTATAAAGGGTACTTAGCAACAACTAAAACATCAGCATCTTATCAATGTTATTCTCACACTAAATCCAAAACACAGCACTGTACCAGCTACTAGGAAGAAAATGAGCCCTGTCCCAGCTGAAACCAGGACACTGCCTAAAGGTCACCTTGCTGTCAGTTGCTGCTGGTCCTACCAGGACATAAAAGCTAGGGGAGGAAAATGTCTCTTCATCATTGACAAAGCCTCTCCCTTGAGTCTCATTAGTCAGAATAAAAATGTTCTTCTTTCCTAAGGTCTTCATTTCAAGACCTTGTTATGTTTATATTCACATTCCCATCTCAAAAGATATGGGGTATTTAGCCAGTACTTACATTTCTTCTGTGGGAAAAAATGTAGTGGGCACATGCTTGAGTTTGACTGCCAGCCTGGCTTAGGACTGAAGAAGCAGCCTAGCTGTTTAGACAAACCTCAGCAGACAAAGCAAGTTCCCCCTTGGTGGTGGAAGTCCTGAGCGTTTATTAAATGTTATACCATGTAGTAATGAGTAGCATGTTCTCTCTTTCAGGCTGACTCTGTCTCTGGAAGAGAAGGAACTGAGCCTCAGAACCCTGGAAGAAAACAACCTTGCCCAGCACAACGAGGCGTCTCAGCTTCGTTCTGCTATTCACCAGGCCCAGCAGCTCCATTCAGACCACACAAGAGAAATACAAGAGCTCAACAACCAGGTGACTTACGTACTAGCATTGTCTTCTCCAGGGATGTACATTACCACCTTTGGCTTGGAAGCCCCAACTCCTTTCCCCTCCCAACAACATACACTCCTGTGTGCTGCCCAGAGACTTTGTACATTGAGGTCAAGGCTGGACCTGCTGTGTTCTGTGTATGTTTTCCCCTATTCTCTCATGGTTCGTGGCATTAAATCTCTGAGGCAGAAGACTCCTTTGGAGCTTCTCAGTATCTCTGTTAGAAACGTTGTCCCCAGATGGTGTTGCTACCTCTGTCAGGCACTGCGCAATCTGGTGAAACAAGTGGTTGTCGCATTCTGTGGAAGGCACTTCCGTCTCAGCCAGTCCATCTGGCATTTTGGAGATGCACCATAAAGGATGCTGATTGTCTCCCCTTTACTGCTACTCCCAGGCATCCCTGGCAGCCCCTCTCTCCATGCAGGGATGCTTGATCTGCCACCTCACCCTGCCACTCTCGCCCCTCCCTCCCTCGCTTCATTTCTGAGGCTGGAAGGCATGAAAGCCTGGCAGTTCGGCCATTCCTTTGGGGATGGGGAAACTTCCTTTTGGCTCCTTAGCCTCCAGATACCTGTTTCTAGCTTATTTTGCTCGGTTTGAATCCTTGGCTTTGTGCCTTCTGTTTCCAGTGTGGTTTTTGCTTGAAGAAATTTCTCCTTCGTTCCCTCCTCTACTTTCTGCTCTGCTGCCTCAATACCAGCACTGTCCCTGAGGCTCTGTGCGTCTGTGTTACAGATACAGTCACTGGAGGAAGTAGTGCTGGAGAAGGAGGCTGGCCTGGCAATTCGAGAGAAGCAGCTGCTACAGGATCTGGAGGAGTCCCAAGCAGGCGAACGGTGCTTGAGGGACTCTTTGCGCATGCTGGAGGCTGAGATGTCTGAACTGCGTTTGAGGCTTTGTAGCACAGAGAACAAAGCAAAGGCGTTGGCCACAGAGTGTCAGCAGGCCAACAGTGCCCACTGTGATGCCCGATCCCAGCTGGACCAACTGTACTTGGTTCTCCACCACGTGATCTGTGACAGCAGAGACTTGGTCACTTCGAGCTCAGGCAAGTGTGGGAGGCTGGGTTAACAGCCCTATAGAGCACATGTGGGAGAGCAGATGGAGGGAGGGGTGGTTCTTTGTGATCCTGATGTGATGGACTCATCAGTTTAGGCTGACTCGTGCCTCGGGAAGTCTCGAAACCTGACATCCCTGCAGAGAGACAAGTCCATGTTTGTATGTGGAGAAATGACCAGCATCAAAATGAAATAGGGCCCAAGTCAGGTCGGGTCATAGGGTGTGTGTGGTGTTCTTGGGGCAGCGCTGACACTGGCGGTCATCAGAATAGTATTAGCCTGTGACATGTGTCTTGCCGTAATGTGAGCTCTAGGACGATGTCAAAGGCACCGCCACATTCTCCTGTGTTTAAAGAAGCCTTGTTTGTTGGAGACCCTTCAATTAAAGCTTGAAACAGAATGGCTTCTCTCTTCAGAACAGGGTCATGTCTGGGGCCTAACTGTTTCTCAGGCCAGGGACCTCCCTGCAGAGCTCACAGTGGACAGAGTGGCAGCAGCCCTGCAAGACCTGCATCAGCACCTGAAGCAGACTCAGCAAGATCTGGTAATGTGTGCCTAGTGCACCCAGAAATCCTGTCTCTCTGCTGGACTGAACTGACAGGCAGAGTGCCAAAGCCAGAAGGGGTGTAAATTCTTGTAGGCCAGGTTGGCTTGCTGCCTTGGGGAGAAAGGAGAATCGTGGTCACATCTACCAGTACTGTCCAACCGCCCCCTCCCACTTTGGCTATTTCTGCTTTAGTGTTTGTGCCTCTTTGTCTCCTGCCAGCAGTGGCTCTGTGAGGTGATACTTCTGTTCTTGCCTCTTCCAGAGTGATGCAGGGAAGAAGATACAGGACTTGGAGCTGGAGCTGAACAAGAGGCAAGCTGAAAGGGACCATTTCAGTGCCCACAATCAAGAGCTGCAGAAACAGTTGGCTCAAAGCAAGGAAGGTACAGCTTCTCTTTTCCAACCCGCTGACCTTATCCTGACCTTATGCAGGGATCTCTGATACCATGCAGAGGAAAAGCGCAGTGCCTGGAGATGGGAAGAGGAGAAAAACAACAAGCATGAGACTTACCTGTAGAACTACCAGTGAAACTTTTTATAGAGAAAGATTCAGTGGCTGGCAGTGCATCTAGCTGTGCTACCGGTGATAATGTGCAGAGGGGGTGCCTTTCAGGTCATGTGTCGCTGCTAAGTAGGTGTAGCTTGATGCCTCACAGCATCTTTCTCAGTATGCTCTTTAAAAGCATCAACCTGCAAAAAGCCTTGTCTTTATTGATTTCCTTTTGCTCTTACATGGCAGATTCATAGAGCATTAGTTCAGTGTTAAGCTCCTGTGTTATTGCATCCTTTCTTCTGCTGCTTTTCCTAATTCTCTGGTACTAGTGTTTCTGCATCCTTTTCGCCTGTTTTCTTGCTGGTATTGATTTGGTGTCTGAGCTCACAGCCATAGCAAACACAATTTCTTACTTCCCTAGCCACTTTACTTATGCCTTTGGTAACGTGTTCACATTGGGTTTATCTATAAACCTATAAAGGTAACTAGTCACCTTTTCCTCTAATCTTGAGACCATCCAGAGCCTCCAGGGCTATTGGCCTCTCTATATCATAGCTGGACAGGCATCCCTGTTCCTTTCTCTTGTCATTATTTTCCCACTCTCCACATCAGAATTGCTTTTTCATCTCATTGTCTTGTTTCCTTGTCTCAGACTACAGGAACAGGGAAGTTGCTCATCGCTTTCCCCACAGGCTGTCGCCTGCTCAGGTAGTGCCTTTACCTGTTCAGTACTTCTTCATGTTCCTTCTCTGAGAGAACTGCTGATCATTTTTCAGAGTCTTTACAGGAGAGTTTTGCAGGCCTTAGATCATCACTTTTTCTGGAACATCCGTAGTTTTTACTACGTATGTTGCGTATGATAACAGATTATATACTTGAAATTCTACCGTTGGGTCGATCCTGCTTGTCCTGCTAGTCAGTTCTTTCCCTCTTGTTCCTGTCTATCTGTAGTCCTTCTTGCTTCGGGTCTTGGTACTGGTGTTGTTGGCTCAGTTGTTCTTGCCTTGCTGTTGTCCTGGTATCACTGGATATTTCCTTCTTTTTTCTGCCAGTGCACAATGTATCCCCCTAGCATTCTTTTGAACAAATACCAGAGTGCATCTTCAAGTACAACATAGACATCTGTTCTTTTCTCTAAAGTCTCTTTTCCTGGTCAATTAACTGTGCCATAGTCTTCACTTTTGCTTTTTTGTTTTCCTTCAGGACACCAGATCTGACCCTCACCTACTGTCTCTGTCTTTGTTTCATTGATGCCAGTTCTAACTGCTTCTAACGTGGTGGGTGATGTGCTGCCGTGCCCTTAGCCCTGGCCTTTCAACAAGCATGAGAGCAAACGTGTTTCCATATTCTTCTGAACCTTGCCACTTTCTTCTTTTTTTGTTCTGCCTGGAAGTTTTCTTTATTTATGTCTGCTTTGAAAGTCCTTGAGGGCTTAGGGCCTGGAAAACACAGAAGGGCAGATAAGAAAATTGTGTTTTCTCTGTAGGATGCAAATCAGTTTGGTTTTGCTTCCCTTTTCACCTTCTCCTTCACCTTTACTGCTGCAGAGACACAGATGGCAGAATGCAAGAAGAACTCCCTCCAAGCTGCCTTGCAGGAGGAGGCCACTGCTCTGAAAGAGGCGGCTGTGACTCTACATCAAGAGGTGGCATCTTTGGAAAGGAAACTCGAGAGCACTGAGAAGCAAAGAAAGGATGTCCTGGTAAGGCTGGCAGATGCTGTGAAGGGCCATTTCTTACCTCTTTTTTTGCGTCCTGTTAATAAATCTGAGGAGCAACTTTTTCCAGTGGAGAGCTGGTTTTGGGTGGTGGTGTACAGGCTCAGTCCAAATCTGAGAAGACACAGAGTACGCAAATGCTGGCCAAGTTTCCCTCATTTTCCCCTTCCTTCCACTCATCATTCCTTGTTTCCCAGACTTTCCTGCCATGCCACATAGCTGAATTAGCAGGGTCGTCACCTTGGGTAAGAAAAGACAGTCTAGAGAGAAGAGATCATTAAGATGTCTCTCCACATAGTCTGTGATATTAGTCCACAGACCACTACAAGAGCAGAAAGATATTGTTTATATCGGTGGTTGTTTTTTGGTTTAACTTTCCCAGTTGCATTCTTCTGAATAAGCAGGAAAAGATGCTGTAGTCATATAAAACTCAGCTATGATTCAGGGTGTTTGTTTTCCTCAATTCTGAAGATTTCTGCCCTTGAAGCTTAAGTCAAAGTAGTTTTCAAACTTGTCTGTATTTACATTGCACGGTTTGGGCAATTATTTGTGTCCAAATCCATATTTAGATTTCTAAATATCTAGATCTGGAAAAAGGGGTGAGAAGACAAAGTCTGCTAAAAATGGAAAGCTGTACAACATTGCTCATCTGAGAGCACACAGAGGGGAAAAAATAGAGACATCTGAGAAACGAAAGTGCTGATCCAGCTGAATATGTATGCCTGCAAGGGGAAAACTAGTCCTGATTTGAAACACAGAATGACAGACAGTGATCTGTCCGTTATTCCTTCAAGAGAGCACAGTGGGGTTCTAGAGGATGGTACCATGAAAATTCTACACAGTAGAGGTCCAAAAAAAGAAATGATGGTAAATGAAGTGTTCTCTCTTCCTTTCCTAACAGAGATAACATCATCACGCCACTGCCTGAGTCATGCTTAGTCTGGGCTTTAAATCCTGGCTGCAGTTCTAGCAGCTCCTCCCTAAACACGCTGGAGTTAGAAGAGGTTCAGAGTAGGGCAGAAATGAAGTTGGGCCTGGCTGAGTAAGCTGAGAAAGACGCAGCCCAAAGGAGTGGCACAGGAGAGGTCTACAACATTCCGAGAGGCGGGAAGAGGGTGGGCAGTGGTGGTTCACTATCTTTTCTAAGAGATGAACAAGGGCCATCCGTTGAAGGTAGTGAGAGCCACGCCAGCAGCAGGAGGTGGTGTGCCTACAGAAGAGCAGACCTGTTGAACTCCTCAACAAAGGGTGTTGTAAATACAGCAGGTCTGTATGGAGTCAGGAGGAGACTGTGAAAGTTCTCATAAGCTGGAACAGTGCTGGTGTTGGGGAGGGGAGATATGTAAGTCTACCTTTCTCTTAGGCTTTCTTCCCTGCTATGCACTTAGAGGCACCGTTACATGCAGGATACCAGCCTAGGCATTTGAGCTAGTGCAGCTGTTCTTACACGATCAATATTTTCCGACTTCTCCATTTAGAATGACTCCAAGAATCAGTTATGGACAGAGTTACAGTACAGTTCTCAAATATTTTTTTGAGTGTCAGAGAGAATTTACATCAAACAAGGAAACCAACTGAATAGCTCAAATTTTCAATTAAAAGCTCAAACTTCAGCCCTTGACTGCCAGTGGAGCAGGAGTTCAAATCTAGTATGAAAACCAGACATATATAGATGGAATTACTGAATCTTCCTCCCTGTTTTGCAGTATGAACGGGACAGACTGCAAGCACTTAAAGAAAAACTGGTATGGGAGATAAACCTTCTTCAGGAATCAGTCACAGCCTCTGAAACCCGAGCAAATACAGCAACAGATATGAATCACTCCCTTGAACAAGAACTCCAAACTACACGGTCTATCTTAAAAATTAAAAATGAGGAAGTGGAAGTGCAGTGGGAGAGAATCCAGATGCTACAGAAAGAGGCAGCAGAGGTAAAAGCTTTGCAGGAGAATCTCACTCGTATGACAGCCATCCTGTCAGAGAGAGAGGGAGAAATGAAGCTATACCAGGAACAGATGAGAATGCTGGAAAAGCAGAAAGACATGCATAAAACTACTCTTGATCAGGTTATTAAGGACATAACAGAGGAAAAACAGAAGACAGAATCGCAGCAAGAACACATACAGGAGCTGGAGAACCAGCAAGAAAAACAAAGGATTGCTGTAAGCAAAATGAGCAAAGACCTGGAAGAGAGAGACTGGGAGATCAGATCCCAGCAGGAACTGATAGCGAAGCTGGAGAAGTATCGAGAAACGCAGAGCGCTGCTGTCAGCAAGATGAGCAAA